AATATAGTTGCGAATCTTTGTCATTGGGCTGCATGTGGTAGATGGTATTGAAAGACCACTAATGATATTTGTGACAATAATTCGGGCTTGCTATATTCCAATAACAACAGAAGTTCTTTGAAGTCAAAGCACATAAACTTCACATTCTTGTTGTTAAATGAAGAGTTTAGAGTTTATAAGTGTCTATAGAACATATTTGGACAAACTCCATGATTGCGGATCCGCTAACCAAGGGTGTACCGCCCAAGGCCTTTCAAAAGCATACTGCTATATGGACATTGTCTTATTTGAGGATCTGTGTGTTTAGCAGGAGTTTGTATGTTGGATGTTTTTTTTTGGTCAAGGCACACTTTTATATTTGTTTTCACAAAATAAAGAAGATGGATTATGGTTTATCTTGAACTTACTTTCTATTTACGGTTTTGCATTAAGTTTAGAAAGCTTTGGATTGATCTTACTAAAGACTAAATTAGGACCAGTTAGAAATAGGCATGTTGGAGATCACATTATATGTAATTTTCACGCCACTCATCCATACTCGATTTATGTCATTGAACATGTTGGTGTGGTTACCATGGAATGTAACACCCTTAGGTGGGGGTTATACAATAAGATTAGAAATACGAGGGGCAAACGAAAATAAAAATAAAATACAACTCTCAAAATATAAACGACAAGTGCCCATGTGACTTTTAATGAAAAACTCATGATTAAAAATCACAAATCGACGAAACAAAATAAAACCAGAAATCCACAGTACAATGTAGAACCCAATAAAGTACTTAAATGATACAACCATCATCTGTCACATCCCTGTCGAAAACAACCCAGACAGAATCTTACATAACTGAAGAAGAAGACCGAAAGAAGGGATAGGTCTCCAACACGTTGCGCACTGTGAGACGTCTACTCCTCGTCTGAAAGATTACACTATACACCGCCTGGGGAATGGGAAGAGAAAAGGGGTGAGCATTGAATGCTTAGTAGGAGAACTATTACTCACTTTTAGTTTTATTTATTTTCCGGATTAAACCTGCATGGTTAGTAGTTTTTACGTTTTATGTATAATGAGTCAGATGACCAGTGTCGGTGAGATAACCCAATCCGTACGCTCGTGACAAAAAACCCCCGAAGGGCATGGTGATTCGGAGGCACTGATAGCAAGGAGCTCTATCTCGGTGTCCCTACCAGATCAGTTCTGGAACCATGGGCAAGGGCGAGCCCTCACCAAGACGCAACCACTATACAGTAACCTTGGGGATTCTCAACCCCGGAGAGCGTCATCACCTCTCCACTCCTTTACATTTTCGGGTTCACACCCAGGGGTGGTGAACGGCCACACCTAGAGCCCGTTTGGTTGGCAGAATCGTTCTCTGATTCAAATCATGGTTCATGGTTCGCTATAGTATTTTTTGTCACAAAAAACATACGTAAATCGAAAATAGTTCTAATCTCATGGTTCTAATCCATGAACCAAACGGGCTCCTACTGTTAGAACACTATCTCACTATCGTGTCCGGTTTACATTCTCCTAACTATGCTTTTGTGTCAGATTCCAAAATTTGTCAAATTTCTTGGCCACGCTGTACACTACAGGACGAGCCCCCTAATGATTTTGTTCAAGTCATATCGTATAACAATAATAAAGAAATTTAATATACAATTTCATTCTTCTCAAATTTAACAAAATTAATTAAATTAAATAAAATTCCACAAAAATTTAGTAATAGGACCCTACCTCATAACGGATCGTCAATCGGAAGGGAAGCTGAGAAACGAAGCTTAGCCGGAATCCGGCTACCGGTGGCAGCGGCAGCGGCGGCGGAGCTTCCCGGAGAAGAATCCTGCGGTGGACTTGGGTCCTACTCCCCCTAAATTAATGGTTCTGAGTCCCATGGTGATGTCAATTTTACTAAATTCGGCATCTAACCACTCGGATCGGGATCCTCAATTTCGGCCAAATTTCAAGCTTTGAATCTTTATTTTTCAGCCTCGGATCTTCAAAATTGATTGTGGGCTTTCATTACCCGTGAGATTCTGACATTTTGACACCAAGATCACGAGGATCCAACGGCTAGATCACCGGAACCATCCTCCCATTTTTTTCACGGCGGCGGCGGCTCATTTTCCAGCAACGCGGCGGCGGTGACCATGGCTGGTGGCCTAGAACGACTTGGCGGCTACCTCTGAAGCTAATGGGCTGGGCGGTGTCGTTCACGGCGGCCGGAGGAGGGAGATCCGAGGGCGGCGGAGGTGGGAAATCCGACCACCACGGGCGGTGGTGTTCCGGTCAGAATCAAGCCATGCTACTAGTACGGTTTTCTTCGTCTCTTCGCTCTGAGTCTATTGGGACTGGAATCACCTCGATCGGACATCGGACGGTGAAGATATCACGATCGGAAGTTTGAGTATTTTTCGGAAGTTTGGCCGGCGAGTGTGGCGTCGTCTGGCGAAGTTGGTGGCTGGAAGACACCAATCCGAACTCAGCTCGACGAGGTCTTTCCAACGAGCTGGGAGGTGTCAAAAACGGACGCCGGAATCTCGCAGGACGTGGGTCGGCCGTGCGTGGAGAAAGAGAGAGAAAGTGAAGAGAGAGAAGGAAAATGAGTGTTTCTTATTAGTGAGGACGAGGGAGACGTCAAAGTGGCACTAAATAAGGTTGAGCATACTGACTATCAAAATATTTACTTTTGACTCTTATATTTCTCTTAAATTTGAATTCTAACATAGATTTTTAAAATTTTTACGATTAAATCCTTAAAAATTATAAATTGACCCCAATTAAATTTTGAGTTTTACATTGAAGGTTTAGTTACATTTGAGAGTGACGAAAGTCTCCATGATCTCATGTTGATATAGGAGATGGACCAGATTGTAACTAAGGTGAAGTCTAAGGATAAATAGCATACATAAAGTGCACTTAAGGAATATATGATATAATTATTTCAAAAATCATATGTTGTCCAAGTGAGAGATTGTTGGGATTTTCACATTAATTCTTAATATTTTATGTGGGCCACGTATTTATATAATAATTATATTAAGCTATTCAATTAAATGAGCCTTTAGTGATCTAATTAAGATAAGCTCATAAGACTTCTAAGACTTCTAAGAGGATATGAGATAAATGAGTGGATACTACTTATCCGATAAGGTTTAATGGGAGCCTATTAGATAAGTATATAAAGACATATAGGTTATGGTCCCTAATATGCTAAGTCATCCAGCCGTTTTCTCTCTTTCTCATATAGAGAGAAAGCACCTCATTCAAGACTCTGGAGATTTGATTGAGGAATACAATAACCTGTTTTTTAATCGTCGTAGTAATTCTGTAAAAGTGCTGATTGTTGCTATTATAGATTCAAGTACGCTTACTCAATATTATCTTGATAATTTGGCATGATGGTTCTTGAAATTTATAAATATGATGGTCCAAATCATATTTATAATTAAAGTCCAACATGTCTTGTTTATGGATCGAGTTGGTATGATCGTAACAAGGTCCTACACAAGAGGTTGTGATACTTTCCAATCACGTTTCGGTTAGAGAGGCGATATAGTTCAAGGCACGCAACTAAAGATACGTGATGGAATAAAGAACGGTGTCAAGAAAAACTTGGGATATTATGTAATCCTGTTGATGGACAAGCTTAGAAACAACTTGATGCATTGTATCTCCCAACTTCGCAGCTGGTCTAAGAAATGTTCGGTTTCAATTCATTTAGTAAAATAACAACTTATAGTTTGCGACTAGTTATTTTAATTCCATATAGTGCTCCACCTTGTCATAGGTCAGCATGCAATCATGCCTATCATTGTATCCTTGGAAACTAACATATATATTTAGGTACGATTTTAATAGTTACTCTAATATTTAATCATTACTGGATCTTCTTGAAATGTAATTTTCTTAAAATATGTGGGGCTTGTTTGGAATTCTTGAAAACTTTAATAATGATTTTAGTATTTTCAATTGCAACGATTTATTATTATATTGATTTGAATATCCCCAAATGTTTAATTACCCCTTTTAATCAGGTTTAATTTCTAAACGAGCGTATACGTCACCAACCCCTGTTTTGGGGTGTGACAGTGAGCGTTTGGAACCATTTTTTAAAACAGTTTTCACGTATTTTGAGAAGTAGAAAATGAAAATAAAAACAGAACAACGTTTCTTTATCAAATGTTTTGAAAATGAAAATGAAAATGAAAACAGTGAAAGTGATTTTTGTGAAGGAATTAGAAAATAGTTGAAAGTTTTACTTTTCTATTTTCATTTTTTAGTACTTATCAATAATATTATAATATATTAATTAATAATTATAATCAAACATGATTTCACTTTTTTATTATACTCAAAACAATCTCTTAAAAAATCAACCAAAAGTAATTTTAGAATCGGTTTCAGAATGATTTTTATAACAATCTCATGTTTATTTTTTATTGAAGACAAAACCATTTTGCTCTCTTTCCTTTTTTTTATTTATTTTTTTTAATTTTTGCTCTCTTTGAAGGATCAACAATATGTATAGATATATATTTAAATGAATGTGTCAATGTCATGATTCATTTATGCGCATAGTAGGAATTTTTAGTATAACAACAGCAAATAAAAAACTATTACGAGTAAACAGGCGTAAAATTTACGTATTGCATGACCTCCTTATTCCAAACGTCAAAATATATAAACCTTAATCGCTTATAATTTTTTAATTGAAAAGTCGCGCATTCACAACTCACCGCCACGGAGCAGGAAAAAAAAGGAAAGCGAACTATTTCAATTTTGTTTTTTCTCTGTCCGGCCTCGTCCTTTTTTACCTCTAGCCCACCAATTTTGAATTGTTGTGCACAAGAACAAGAACAGGGCGTTCACTATTTACGCTTTACAGCTGCGAAACAATTTTACACACACATTTATATATGTAAGAACGGTCAAAGATTAATTATTTATCTTTATAAGACACTGAAATCTTAGTATAAATATCAAGCAATCTAGCGATCATTCGAAATGTGCTCGTGTGGCTTCGAAACAAGAGAGATCTGGAAAAAAAAAAAAAAAAATGGCTCCACTCTCTAATTTATCCTTGATTCTTCTAATCTTGTTCAGTTTTCATAGCCAACTACTGCAGGTTCATGCATTCACAACACGATCTGATCAGGGCATGTAACTTTTCGTTTTTAATGCATAAGATTTATTTAATTCGCTAATTCGAGTTGAGAAGTAATTTTATATAAAAAAATTTTATTGTAGTAAAAAAGTTAAATTTGATTGTTTATAAAAATTTGTTACTGTAATAAAACTCAAATTCTAAACTCGAATCGATAAAATAAACGGGTCATAAATACATTGAGTAATAAGAACTCTAAAAATAGTAATTCGAGGATGAAAACGGCTAGCTTTTGATTTTTTTTTTTATGTTCTAAAAACTTGCTTTTTTTTTTTTTTTTTTGGTTTCAGACTTTAGTTACTTGAAATCTGTACGCAACGCAACCAATATGGCATCGGAGGAAAAGTACGACTACATAGTGATCGGAGGGGGCACAGCAGGGTGTCCGCTAGCCGCAACTCTATCAGAAAAGCACTCGGTACTCGTCCTCGAAAGAGGCGGCACCCCGGGGACGTACCCAAATGTGTTGAACGTTGCAGGGTATTTCGCCAATCTCATGCAAGAAGACGACGGCCAAACACCTGCGCAGAGATTCACGTCCCAAGACGGCGTTCCAAACGTTAGAGGAAGAGTTCTCGGAGGCTCTAGCATGATAAATGCGGGCCTTTATTCACGAGCTGACGACGAATTTCTTTCGAATTCGGGTGTGGAATGGGACATGGATTCGGTCGAGAAGGCGTATCAGTGGGTTGAAGAGAGCGTGGTGTTCCGTCCGAATTTGGCAGTTTGGCAATCTGCTGTGAAGGAAGCTCTGTTGGAAGCTGGCGTTGGCCCTGACAATGGCCTTAGCGTAGATCATGAAGTCGGAACAAAAATTGCGGGTTCGACTTTCGATGGAGTTGGGAAGAGATATGGAGCTGTGGAGCTGCTTAATAAAGGAGATCTGGTGAACTTGCGAGTTGCCGTTCATGCTACTGTGGAAACAATCATCTTTTCGGAAGAAGGATCAAGTATGTTTCCATTTACATATCTTCCATAAATTCATGATTTCCGTTACTCATATAAAAAAACAAAATAAAATAAAACAAAACCTTGTGGGGGCGAAATCTTCATGGAAAAAACAAACATCGTTGCTGTTCATTCGCAGTAAATTATTAAATAAATATTTTAAAGAAAAATATGCTCATGCATTATAATATTATTTGTCTTCTGTCATTAGCTTTTTACGAAATATACCTACACACACAGACACACACATATATGTTTTTGTTGTGTTTGTATTGTTAAGCAGCATATTGAATACGGATATATTTTTTGAAATGACAGAACCTTCTGCGGTCGGAGTTATATACACAGATTCAAACGGGAAGTCTCACAAAGCACTTATACGCAAGAGAGGAGAGATTATTCTTAGTGCCGGTGCAATTGGAAGCCCCCAACTTCTGCTACTTAGCGGAGTCGGCTCAGATACATACCTCTCATCACAAAATATTTCAGTAATCCACTCCCAACCAAACGTGGGAAAATTCATGGCTGACAATCCTCGAAACAACATTAATCTCGTGATCCCATTCCCGTTCGATTCATCTTCCGCACAAGTTGTAGGAATCACAAGTGATTATTATATAGAAGCATTCTCTCTTAGCTTGTCATTCTTTCCGATTCCCTTACCCTTCAGCCTTTATCCCAGCTCAGTTTCCACAGAATTGAGCCTAGCGAGCATTGTCGAGAAAATAGCCGGACCCTTATCCCACGGTTCTCTTCAACTGGCTTCTCCAAATGACGTAAAAGTCGCCCCACATGTCGGATTCAACTACTTTGCCGATCCCGTCGACCTTTCTCGATGCGTTAGTGGCGTGAGAAAGATTGGCGATTTGCTGAACACAAACTCCATGGATCCATTTAAGTACGAGGCTTTGAATGGTGAAAGGGGTTTCATGTTCTTGGGGCCTGCTTTACCATCGAACAATTCGGATGATTCCGCAATGGAGGACTATTGTCGAAGCACGGTCACGTCCTTTTGGCATTACCATGGCGGGTGTCTCGTGGGGAAGGTGGTTGATGGTGATTTTCGCGTAATGGGGGTTAATTCACTTCGTGTTGTGGATGGGTCAACTTTCAGCCTCTCGCCGGGAACCAATCCTCAGGCCACTCTAATGATGTTAGGCCGGTGAGTTTCCTTTTTCTTTTCTTTTTTTTCTTCTTATACAAATTTATAATTAATCATGTTTTGCAATAAAATTTCAAGCCGACTTCTTTTTTCCTAAATATTACTCGTCCTAATCCTGTAGGCGTAACTAACTTGTTGTGTGATATGAGCAGGTATATGGGGCTTAAGATGCTGAGAGAACGAAGACAACCAATATCTTAGAGATCACAAGATTTAAAATTCTCGCATTGTCTAGGCCGTTCTGGAATTCCTTATTGTCAAAGTTACAAGAATCTTTTTGTTTTTTTTTTAATTTTTAAATTAAGCATACCATTATATATGTTCAACAGGACATCTTTTGTTTTTTTTTGTTTTTTTTTTTTTTGGTATCATAGATAAATAAATAGAAAACGTCTCATTAACTATTCTACAGTACTTTTGATATATTTTTCCATTTCATAATTAAAATAGTGATTTTGTTGAAGAATATTTAGAAACAATTACTGTCTTGTTCATTTCACCGATTCAAGTTTTCCGTTTTAGGTTTCTACAATAAAAAGCTCTCAGAAAATGTCACATCTAACTTTTTCTGTTACAGTAAAAAGCTCTAAAAAAATGTCACATCTCAACTCGAATTAAAAACTCGAATATGTGAAGTGAACGAGGCCTACATCTAGACCGATAAAAATGCAAAGGAGCAGAGTGCAAGATCTCATAGAGATGTAAAACGTGTCACTTGAAACTGTATCATACATGTCATTTGAAACGTGTCATTTTTTTTTTTTTTGACATTGTAAAATGATTAAAATCTCATATGCGAGTAAATAATTTCCATTTTCTAAATCTAAGAACAATGTTTGTTGTATTTTGCTTAACTCCTCCTCTTTTCGTGTCGTGCTAACCATTATACGACAAAAGATGAACCCGTTTCAACCCATTATTGTGTTAGATTAGATATTGAAAGATATAATAGATTGATGACGTGGCCCATTGGTTGTGAAATTTGACCGATGGCAAGGCTGAATGAGAGTCAACTATATAGTAACAACAACTTGTATATAAGACGAGTATAATAAGAAAATTGATAAGCGTTTCTTTGAGATAATCTCTATAATTCTGTAATAATTAAGAAGAATTGTCTATGAGAAACTTAAAGACAAAAAGAGAATTGTATTCTCCTTTGTTTTTTTTTTTTTTTTTTTTCCTAGATTGTTTGATTCTTGTCGATAAGAGACGTGCTCATTCTCATTGATAATCAATAAATAAACAGCCGCGTATTTTTTTATTTTTGTAGTTTACATTTTTGTAAATGTCCGAGGAATAGGTACGTAAGAGTTACGCGCGCCGGCATTTTAGAAAAGGTTTGCATTCTTAAGGAGAGTCATGATTAGTGGCAGGGGGGGGCGGAGGGGGGGGGGCAGTGAGAGAGAAGGTTGAAGAGAGCAAAACAGAAAGATGATGAAAGAGTGTTGTTTAAAATAATAATAATAATAATAAGTTAGGTGTTGAATAGTCTGCATACCCAGTTGGCAATTTAGGGACTCGTGGCATTTGTCGGAAGAATTTTTAAAGCATTAAAGCATACTGGCCTAATTATCTCGAGGATATTTTAGCTGCGTCCTATTTAGTTTTATGTCCATCTCTAGTTTTCTCTTAGTTTGTTCCGTTTTGTATTATAACTAGTTGAAACCGCGCATGTAAGTAAGAATGAAAAAATATTTATTGATGGTCGTATTTGTACCAGGCCCATCCCAAGATCAAAGTCTAATAATCTCATCTTCTGACACGATTGAGTTGGCTTTATGAATTCAACTCACGCTAAGAGAATTCACGTATGTCATGATTTCGTGGGCCATGAGTACATAGTCGAACATGCCCATTTACTTTTTAATCTAATCCGATTGTAAATCTCTCTTGGGGTTTTAAAATAGTTAGGTTAAGAAATAAATAGGTGATAGAGAATTCAACTCTAAAAATTCTTTGTTTTGCCTTTTAAAAGTCCTATAAATCATTTTTCAGTCTTTGGAGGCTCAAAAGTCTGAAATTTAAGCCTTAAAGCCTTCACCTCCAGCAACAGAGTAGGTTTCTCGTTGCTCCAGAACAGAGTAGAGCTTCATATGTTTCATGTTAAGAAGTTATGGTTTGACATTAAGCTGACAGAGGAGGAGATTGTTGACTATATTATGCATGAAGCGCAAAAGTGCTACCGGGATTGGAAGTGCGATATCTACGATCACTTTAAAGAACACGGTATGGCCATAAAGCCTAACACTGTTAAAAATGATGAGAGACATATATATTACAATCTCTCAAATAATCTCTACTATATTATAATATTTCTCCTAAATTAACAATGATAAACACATACATATAAGAATGTATTTTTCAATTTTAACCTCCAATTAGTTAATGTACTTTAAAGTATTCATAAGACAATAGTTTACTTTGCATTAATCTTTGTCTCTTAAGCAAATATTGAACTTAAAAATATGTTCTAATCGTTTAGCACTATTTCGTCATTGTGTTCTATCTATAGAAGGTTAAACACCCGCACACTCTTAAATACATCAAGTTTGGCTTTCTTCCTTTCCATACTTCATATGGAGAAACATGTGTTTTCATAGATGTGATTCTATTGTGAACATGACATGCAGTAAGTAAAGTTTTCCCCCCATAAATTATTAGGCAATTTAGCATTAAGAGGCATAGAGTTAATCATATCGGTAAAAATCATATTCTTTCTTTCAGCCATTCAATTTTGTTGAGGAGTGCAAGGGGCTGACCTTTGGTGAATAATACCATGCTCTTCACATAAGACATCAAATTCATTCAAGAAATATTCAGCACCTTTATCACTTTGAACTATTTTGATCTTCTTATCTTTTTGGTTTTCTAAACTTTAGCCTTATAAATTTTAAATTTATCAAAAGCTTCATCTTTTGTTCGAAGTAAGTACACATAAGTGTATTTAGAACAATCATCAATGAAAGTGATAAAACAATCATCAATGAAAGTGATAATGTATCTCTTTCCTCGTCTTGTCAAAATACCATTATACTCACAAATATCGGTATGAATCATATCCAATAATATTTGAGTATTTCATTCGGCTCTAGGAAAGGGTTTCTTAGTCATCTTTGCTTGTATGTAAATTTTACACTTATCACTTTTAATATATTTGTAATTAATGAAACCATGTTTAGACATATATTTTAAAGATCTAAAATTTTAAGTGTGCTAAATTTGCATGCCAAACATCAAAAGAGTTAACAATATAAAGAGAATTCATGTCATCTTTATTATTAATGCTAAGTTTGTACATGCCATCACAAGAATATTCCTTTCCCACAAAGACCTCATTCTTAGATATAATACAATTATTGCCCTCCAATTTTTTTGGATTTGAAATTTATAATAATGCCCACAATAGATTAGACGACGGTTATTTTCAATTAGGTTAGATTATTAGATGACAGTTTTTTTTTTTTTTTTATAAATATTATATGATTGTTAAGATTAGAACAAATTAATTGCGTTTCTAATATTATTTGAACATTTGAATGTAAATGTGAATATTTGTTGTATTTGATTTAAGAAGTTCTAAGTTAGTTAGGTTAGAATTAAGAATGAAACTAAATCTAAATTTAAGTTATTTAGTATATTTTTTGTATATATTGATTAGGTTAGGTTAATTCAATGTTGATTAGGCTAGTTTTAAGTTATTTAGTTTAGGATTAAGAATGACACTAAATCTATATATTTGATTATATGTTGATTCTTAAAAACATGGTTGGCCATTATTGGTTCAAGAAAGAACTTAATACAGCATGAGAGCTATTTAGGGAGGAGCACACTTCAGATCCCGAAAATCAATATGAACGAAGGAAAACAACAAAATTTAACCCCGATGATGATGGGAAATGTAGGGCAACCATAATGTGTAAAGTTGCCAAGCCGAGGGATAAGGAGGAAAGAACTACAGAGTTATGTCGGTGTTTTGACACAAATAACAATAGAGGATTGGCGACATAAGGAAAATAAAGATAACGTGAACTGAATTTGGCATGATTTGGTTCAAAGTTTCACGGTTCCAGAGACCGCAAAAAAATTACAAGCTTACGTGTGCAGCAAATATGGCTCAGGACTTTAGGTCCAACCTATTCACGACCTTTGTAAAGCCGCTATAGGATAGTCCCAAAGTATTTGAATTGCCAAAGAAAGTGGCTAGAAACTACCCTTCAATTAACCTAAAGCAATGAAGGAAGTTTGTGAAGTATAGACTTAGTGACAATCAAGAGGTTGTTTACGAAGAAGCATAAAAAAAAAGAGGATCATACAAGTATCTACGTGGGAATGCTCATGTGGGATATAGGAAAGCATAGGAGAAATGTGGTTGGATCGCATACAAAATAAGGTCGTGTGGTTAGATCCCTCACGGCGAAAGTACGCTTAGACTTCAGAAGAATGATTGTTTTATAAGTTTAACATTTTTTACAACTTTCGAACCATTAATTTATATTATTTTATTTACTAACTAATTGACTTTTTAATGTTTTATTAGTGCATTACATGATTGGAAGGTGCGAACAACGCTTTAATTTGAACGCCATGAGGATGGCGTCACAAGATTTATCATCCCAAAGGTAAGTGTTTATAATTTCGTTCATTGAATTACTCGAACTTAAAAAATATAATATTTTTAATGTACGAATTAAAATTTCTTATTTATTATCAAAAAATTTTGATGACGCAAGAAGGACACAAAAATTGCGGCTTCTTCATCTTACGGTGCACGCGGGATATAATGAGAGTCGATATTAATGATCTAAGAAACATAGAGACATATACTAATGAGCATTTGGAAGAAGTTATAAATGAATGAGCACATTTTATAAAGAGAGATATAATTTAAATTATGTATACATTTTGATTTGAATATATGTAATATAAATATGTTTATGTTCTGTGATTTCTGACTTGTATTATGTTCTGTGATTTCTGACTTGTATTAATTGTGTGGCCAAAATATTGATATATCATAAGATTAAAGGTTAACTCGTGAGAAAAATAATAAAACAGTACCAATTTTTTTAGTGTATAAAAGAGATATAACAATAACTTTTAACTAAAATCACGGTTAGAAAAACCGTCATTAAATCTAATATTAGAGGACAGTTTTATAAAAAGTTACGAAAATAAATAGGTCAATTCACTAACTTATGAAAATTAATAGGTTATTTTGTATTTCTAATTTTTCATTTCCAAATTTACCCTTTCTTCTATTTTTTGCCTTTTCCATTTTCGTTCTCGATCTGTTCTCTCTCTCTCCTCAAAATTGTGCATTTGTTAAATAG